TCCTGCTGAAAAACTCGGTGCTGTTGATTTTTCTTCTGATGTTGCTGCTGCTAATCGTTCTGGTGATGGCACTGCCGGTGATTGTGCTAATATTGGCGTTGTTTGTTTTATGGGTGGCTTGCTGGCGGCAGACGACGACCTGGAAGGAATTCCCGTCTCGACAGTATTCTGCACGTTCTCTTTTCCGGTTGTAACCTCCTCTGTGTCTGGACTACCTTCTGTGCCCTGTTCAGTGGAGGACTGCTCTCCTGCTTTTGTTTGTGTTATTGTGGGTGCCTGTGATTTAGTGTTCGTCGTCGTGTTCTTCGAAGGTTCATGAACAGCCTCCTGAGTGTCTGCGGCGCACACGGACGGGCAGCAGCACAGGGCGAGCACCAGCAGGGCGCACAGCAGACGGCACGTCGTCATCATCGTGAGTGTGGTCGTTCAGTGATGTGGAGCTGATCTGCACAGTGAGGGACATGGAGAGCAACAGGGGAGACGAGAGGTGCGGCAGACACACACAGAGGGCACACCACATGAGGAGAGGGCAGCAGCCAGGCATGCACCGTACGCCGCACACCACGCACGACACACACTCCAATCCACGGAAGCAGGCACACAAACACACAAGCCTGCACTCAGTAATACTTGTATTGTACAATTGTTGTGGTCAGTGCATGCGGTCACACACAAAACGAGTGAGAAAAGAGGAGACCACTACGGCTAGACATCAGACTGTAGACTACCAAAAGAACGAAAAGGCAAGAGGGCCGCGCCGCGTCGGCAGTCGGTGCGTCACTTGCCTGCAGACCAGGCGTCGTGCGCGATTGTTGTCGCTCATCGTGACACATTCGCCCTCGTAGCCCCAGAGGGTGGAACAGCCAACGCCAACCCAAACACAGCTGTCAACACGCCATTGCCACAATCGTGAAGAGCCGGCTGGCACCACACACGGCAAGAAGGACACACCAAGACACGCCATGCACCAAAGGGGCGCATCAAGCCCGCAAACAGTGCGCACCGCTCCAACACCGCAGGGCCCTCCCGCACGCACGCACCATCCTACTCCTTCCTTATGTTCGGCTCATTGCCGCCACATCCGACACCCGCACCTCACAATACCAGAGGGAAACACAAAACAGCTGAAGCAGCAACAACAAAAAAACTGCCACCTTGTTGCGCTGACGCCACTGCACGAAAGGGTGCGCCGACGACGGGAGTCCATCGCGCAGGAGACGGAGAAGAGCCCAGCGAGACACCCAAGAGCCACACGTTGGCAGTCTTGTCGGGGCTGCCCCAACGCAACCACAACAAATAGTGCCGCAACCACGGAGCCATGCACCCTGACCCACAGCGTGTTTTCACAATCAGGACAGCAGGGACAGAGGGAATTAAGACACACTACCCACAGTGCAGCAGAGCACCCGAAATACACACAACCAATCAAAAACGGATGCAAAAAGCCGGGAAGGCAAAAAAATAAAAAGGGTGCATGCAGATTGAAAGCCGAAGCACAGAAATTATTTGAGGTCCACATTCTCGCAATGACGCACACACAAAAAGAAGCAAAGTCACAAAACCAAGCAAAAACGTAAAAGATAAAGCCGCATGCACCTATTACGGAGGCAGAGGCAGTCGTCCCTGTCCTTCAGAGAAACAGCTGCTGGCACGATCCCGCCTCCATTGGAGCACATCTCCTTTACTTTTTGCTCATGATTAGAGTGCGGTGGTTTCCCCTCGTCCCAATCGCATCAAAAAACGCGTGAATACATGTGGTGCTGGGAAATGTCTTTTCTCTCCATGTTACTTCGTTCACACACAGTTTTCACGGAAGTTAAATCCTCTAAACAAACAAAAACACCTTTTCCCAGAATAACAAACAATGCAATAAAAGACCGGTCATTTTGCCCATCACCCGCAAGCAATGAAGGACATGGGGAATGCAGTGAGTGTATTATATTATTATTGCCACAGTTTGCACATCTTGAGTGCGGGGTCAATGTGCAAAGTAAATACTGTCGCCCTGCCGCAGTTTGATTGCGCCCAGCCGCCGCGGCTGCTCAAAGAGGCACCACCACTACCGCCGCAGCGACCACAACACGAAGCACAAAGGGAATGAGGCCAGCGGTAGCAGCAGCCACACCGCCATCACTGTCGGCCTGCTGTACCAACGCATCGGGTATCGCCTAGAAATCGTTGCTGTTGACGGACGGAATCGGAGTGGCAGGCACGGAGGCACTGGAAATCACCGCTGGGCAATCCGCCCGCGGGTCGACCTCCGCTCGTGCAACGTCCTCGCCGGGTGATGGCGCAAAAAAAAAAGCGTCGGGGCCGGAGGCTCTGTTGGCTCCCTCGCTCCCACTGCCAGGTCTCCTCCCTCGCCGCTGAGTGTTGTCCTCACTTTCGGTCCGCACCCCCGGATCACCCCTCGGACCGGCATGAAGGCCACCACCAGCGACACCCGCAGCCGAAGCACCGGGAGGCTCGTTCTCAATGGAGGCACCAGACGACACAGGAGACAACTGTGGACGAGTATCCTCCGGAGAAGGCGACCCTGAAGCAACCGCAGACTCTTCTGCTTCCTTCTCTTGCTCGTCATCCTGTCCACCCACCGACGCACTCGGAATGACAAGACTGCTGCCGTTCGCGGCAATGGTGCACACCTCGCCGTACGTGGGGCACTTGATCTTCCCATCTTTCTGAAAATATTTCAACGCCACTGGGATGTCAGTGTCCTCAGGGCAAGGCTGGAAAACACTGCTGCCGAGGTGCCTCTCCTTCACTGTGCCCTCCTCACACTACACCTGCGCGCACATTCCCTTGACGCTTTTATGGCCATCACCGTCCGTCGTCTCCAGTAATTCCGCGTCCAGGCACCACGAGCCGCCGCCAGTCAGCGACCCACGGAGATAATCCACATTTTCGTCCGAGCACGTCCTGTACGTTTTCCCAGACGAGATTCCGTGAAATTCCAAAGAAACAACAGGGCAGACGTCCTTATCCACCAGACTCTCCTTGTCCTCAACGATGCTTGCGGTGCACGTACCAACGTGACAGCGGCCGGAGGTGCAGCGGAGCGTCTCTGTGTCGATAGCATCGCAAAACATGTGAGGATACTTGGCGGCAAGATTATCGGTTGTATTGCACTTGTTGACCAGGAAGTCGCAGCCACTGCAGTGGCCCCAGCTCATCGGCTCCGCCATCCTCCAATTCACGCGGTAGTATCCCATATCCGCAAACACCGCCATCGTCAGAGCCGTGTAGTAGCCGGCACCGACTGCGGGGGGCATCAGCTCGTCCCGCGCGTGGCGTCCCTTCCAGTGAGGGATTTCTTTTTCCCAAGAGCCATCTCCGTCCTCCAGCACCATGCCCTCGAGAGAGTCACAACCAAAGTGCGCTTTCGTCTTCCCCTGAACGTGCTTCCCCGCCACCATCCTGCGGTGCGTCCCACGCAAACTTCTCTCTCGCTTCTTCACCAGGCTCTTTTCTCTCATGCTCTCCTGGCTGAACCCAAGTGCATGCGCAATTTCGTGTGCGGCAACGCGAACGCTCCACGCCGTGTCAGTCATGTACTTCGGATCAAAGTTCATGGCGCCAATGTAGGGGCGAAAATAACTCAGTGTGTTGCACGTGGCCGCCCACACAGCGCACACGGAGCGAGCACACACCACACCAGCCACACGGAGCAAGCGAACACTCATCCATCCACGATGCGGCAACAAAATTTCCAGCCATCACGCCCTCAATGGGACACGGAGCCCAACTCAACGCAGTCACACGCGGTGCTCCACACCCGCAGGAAAGGAGACTCGGGCTGCGCACTCCCTTCCTTCGCTCTTATCCTCATGGCCACGGAAGAAGACAACAGCCGCCACACGCAACCGCCAGCATGCACTGCAAATGAAGCATTCAAATCCACTGCAATGTGCATCTTGTGTGTGCCTGCAGAAACACAAAGCAAAGAATTAGAAAAAAGAGAGAAGAGCACAAACTAAAATGTACAGCGGAAGTGCATGGCGGAAACAACAAGAAGAAGACCGCTCAAACTCACAACTGCACCGCAGCCCAATCAGCGGCAATTCACACAAGATTTATTTAAAACAAAAAAAGCTTTCCCCTTCATCTTATACAAACCCCATCACACAAAATAATTATAAATAAAAAAGAAATCGTCCATTACTGTTCCACACAAAATTAAAAAGCAGCCGGCTGCCGTGTGGCCACACCAAACTGTCTGCATATATTTTGCCCACAAAAAAAAATTAAAAGATATTTAAATGTCTTTCAACCGTCCGACCCTCTGTGTGTCCGTACATCGTTTATATTTCACGGGGCCATCTGCGTGTTGCTGCTCCCCTCAGCCCTCCCATCGGCGCGTGAGTGCGGCCCGCAGAGCACAGTCACTCGTGTGTGTGGGGACTGAGAGAAGCACGCAGACATGACGGCGGTCGCGTCACTCCATCGGGAGAGTGAGCGCAGCAAAAGAAAAATCTTAAAAACACGGCGGCAGGGTGTGGCTGTGTGTGTGGCGCTGCGGGTGTCTGCCCGCCCTGGCCGCAAAGAAAACAAAACAAGAGGGAAAGAAATGTGTGCTCTGCCCCACAGGCCCTCGTCGCACGCCCACACGTCACGGCTCCCTCAGCGCGCCGTTCGTCGCGGCCTCTCCTCATGCGTGCAGCAGGCGAGGCGCACAGGGCCGTCGTCATGAGCGTGTCGGTGGGTGTGCGAGTGGAGCAGTTGGGCGGAAACACACGGCACCCCTCACAGGAAGAGTGCAGCAACAAACAATTAAAGAGGGAAGAGTAGAAAAGAAAAAACGTCCACAGTGATTGCCCCCAAAAGCAAAAAGAGGGATGAGGGATGAGAAAAAAAAAGGATTTTAAAACAAGAAAAGAAGCAAACATTAAAATAAATTTAAGATACACAAAGAAAGTAAAAGTATCAAAAATATTCGTTCCCGGAGAAGTAATTCTCTGCTGGGAAGATCGCAGGTATTCCACGCGGCAGCCAGTCACTCCTCACAGAGCCGCAAACCCCCACAGTCCCAACAGAAGCAGCGATGGCAGCAGTCCGCTCCCACACATGGTGCCGGCATCGCTGTTATTCCCCTGCGACAAATTACCGAGGCTGCTGTTGAGTGCTGTAGCATTTACCTCCCCGTTATGTGAATGTATTCCCTCCTCTCCCTGCGCATCCGTTCTTCCCGCCGTCTCCGCATCCTCAGCAGAGCTCACGCTCACCTCAGGAGTTTGGGGTGATCCAATTCCCTGCATCGTATCTCCACTCCCTGTCGCCACCGTTTGAGCAACATCAGACGAGGGAGTCGTAGTAACGGAAGCTGCACTAGATACACCGCCAGCACCACCAATATTCTCTTTCAACGTTTCCTCTTCCAACGGCAGTTGCCTGGCAGAATTGGACAAGGACACGGCTCCCTGCACAGGTGATCCACTTGTTGCTGATGATTGAGCATCCACCACCGATGTCTTCGGGCCTTCCGACTTCGAAATAGTAACTTTATTTTTGGCAAGCTCTGCAATCTCTTGGGAAGTCAACGGGCGGTTGTACAGCAATACGTTCGACACCGTCACAGGCACGCCTTCTCGGCCTCCTGTGTTCTCTGCGCTGCCTCCATCCCCTCCAATGAGGAAGTGTGAGATCCCTTTCGAATCCGTATTTTCCAAGTTACATTTTTCATCCCCACCCACAGGCTGACCATCGACGTACGCAGAGCTCTGGTTGCCGTTCCGTAGCAAAACTACCATGTGTTCTGATGTATTTGTCTCCCAATCGCTGCTGTACTTCTTGTTCTCTCTGCCACCGCACAGTAATATCCATTTATTTTCGTTGTTGTTGTTGTACGACAGTCCCAGGATTACTGTATTGTCACTGTCATTCATCGTCGCACCCATCAATGGAATAGAACCCTCCTTCGGCACATCGTGGATGGACACCGTCGCCACAAGAGTGAAGTTGTGGTTCGCAAAGTGGTACAGCTGATTATCCCCTTGCCTGCCAACGGGCCACTCCGCCCACGCACCACGTCCTTTAAATGTCACGCCATTATCCTTTTCCTCCGCCCCATCTTTATAATTTACTGTGGCGTTCACCCCGAGGTACTCGTCCCTCCATGTGCCATTAGAGAAATTGCCGGACAAAAAGCCAACCAGACCAGCCGTGATCTTACCAGTATTGCAGGCATTTTCAGTTGAGGTATCCTCCTCAGAAGGACATAGCTCGGAGACACGTTCGTCCACTTCCTTCCAGGTCGCCAGCACCTCCTTCACCCGCTTCAACTGCGCAGTCAGACGCACAGAGACCATACCGAGTGATGATTCCTCTTCGCCCTTCTTCTTCTCGTACAGTGCAATCAACTCATCATTATTTCCTTGATATCCGCTTTTGTACAGCAGGGAGCTGGCGGTAACGTCATCATCGTTCCCGGACACCGGCCCAATGTCAACAATGTGCGTATTGTCCGTCAGCCAAAGATGGAGTACGCCCTTTGGATTGTCTTCTTTGTTGGAATACACCGGCAGAGTAACAAGCATCACATTTCTCTTATCATCTTCAACACCGCCGCCAATATTCGCTGTGATGAACCCGCTCCTAACGATTTCAACCTTTTCACCCTTTTTGTTGCCCCACACGCGCGAGAGTGTCCCGAGTGCCTCCGTCCACGAATTCCCCTTGTCACCGATCTCGTACACCCTGCGGCGGCCATCACACGCAGTCATCATCATGAGTTTTTCTTTCCACTCCACGACGGAGGGATCACTGCAGCCATCGGCAGACATCCCCTTCGACAGCGTCCAACTCTTGGCATCCAAGGAGTATATGACCAGCGAAACGGTCTTTCCACCCTCTTCGGTGTCGGCCTTCTCCTTCTTTTTGGTGGCCTCCACTGGGAACACAAGCGTACCTTCGTTCAACTTGACACCCGATCCACCGCCGCCAATCAGCCGTGACAAGGATTCGTGTTGGTCGCCTAGAGTGCACGGTACACCGTCAGTTTCCTTCCAGTGGATTCGGTTGTTGTCGGCTTCACCACCGACCTCACCCTTCACAAGCAATATTCCCGATTTGGTGTTCTCAGTCCCAGCCTGACAGTTAGCGGCATCTTCATGGCTGTGTTTTCCAACAATCATGTAAATATTATTTCCCTTCACAACTGTTGTTGGTCGGCTCACATCTACTTTCTTCTTCTCCATGGAAATGTCTTCTTCCAGAACCTGTGTATACTTGGCATCCTTCAGCACTTCCTCCGGTCCTTTACCCTTTTCCATCGAGAGTAGTTGGGATGCAATGCCAGTAAAAACACTCTTTGGATCCTCCTTGCACTGCGCCTCGGCAACGGCAAACACCTTACCATTCACCTCAACAAGACTTGGACCACGAAGCGAACTCACAGTTTCATCACCTGTTGTATCTCTCCAACCAAAAGGTGACTTCGGTACAGGTTCCCTAGCTATCGTTGGCTCCACCTCCGCAATTTTCGCAGCTCCAGTGCCGCAGCACATCACCACGACAAATAGGAGCAGCACCGCGGAAGTAAACACACGCCGGGACATGTTGGGCCTCTGCGGCTCACTCTCTCCTCCTTCCCTCCTCCTTCCGCTGGATCCGGTCACGCGGCGACGGTTGTGTGTGCGGGGTGCCTTCACTGCAACAACACGTGAGAGCATATAAATATGTGTGTGGGCGGTGTGTGCTGTTGTTGTTCCTTTCAGAGCCTTCGAATTTCACAGTAGCGTTAAGTGCCTGTTTGCTTTCTTCGTAAAAGAGTGTGAAAGAAATGAATAAAAACAGACTAATGAAAAAAGGGTGAAAGAATAAGCACCGCCACCTACAGTGAGTGGCACCATCACCCCGCCACAGTCACTCCCCACAACAACAACTCACGCACACAGACACACGGAACGACAAGGAAAAACAGTGCACCGGGAACACACAGCGACTGCCACCACCAGCAGCAGGAGCCACGGCGGGTGTGTCGTTATCCACGCGTCAGCACACACCGAGCAACGCCCACACACGATAACAACCAGCGAGATGCAAGAGAACACAGCCGTCCTTTGAAAAGCCCACGCGCTAATTCCAGTCATTTTATTATTGTCTCCTCCAGCGCTCCCACTTCTCCGTCCGTGCACAGCCGGGGTATCCCCATCGGCCAATCCGCAGCGTCAAAGAACAGTCGGCACGTGCAGTAGCTGGGCGGGAAGCAATCCGTACTTGTACCATGCACTCCCAATATCACCCAATCAACTGCACGCCAGCAACGCGTCAAAAAGAAATAATCTCGCTCTCCCGTCCTCCCTCCTCGCAAGGGACTTCGCAGCCAGAATCTTCTGCGTGCATCCGTTCTCAGCAATCATTCCGCTCTACAGAGTATGCATAATGGTGTGTGTGTGTGTATTTGTCAATGCATATACTTGCAGAGCAGCTGTGCGCCACAAGAGAGTCTGAAGAAAGCAACGGCAGAGAGAGAAGCAGATAGCACACACGTAAATTACTCATATCATCACGCACACACACACACACGCAGCCGCGGAATGGGTGCACTCAACCACAAAATCAAAAAGGAAAACAAAACAAAAAGCCGAAGCGTGGGACGACCAGCGCACACACACTCTCATTACTCCCGTAAAGCAAAACACACACACAGAGGGAGAGAGAGAGAGGTCGCCCACTCAATGCAATGGAAAAAAAACAGAAACAGTTACGGTGCTCCGTCCATGCAGCCAGGCAGGACGGCAGCGGTGCGTGTCGTGCAAAAGAGAGCACCAATGGGCCTGCATGGGTGTGCATGCATATATACAATGGGCACATTGTGTGTGCCTCGTGGGGTGAGGTGAGGGCGAGAGTCCATGCAAGGGGACACACACACAGAGAGAGAAGAACGAGTGTGTGTGCGGGCGGTGCACGGCTCTCTCTCCCTCACTCTCACGCGGCCACCACCACCGCCGCAGCCGCACACGCAACAACAAGAAGCAAAAGAGGGGAGGTGGTGTGGGAGACCGCGGTGCTGTCGTCACTGTCGCCAGGCGTCGTTGTAACATTTATTCTGGCAGTGGCGGCTGTTTCTGCTGTTTGTGGCGCTGTCTCACTGAGTGGTGGAACAACGTTGGTGTTGCCAGTGTCAAGGCTGTCGTGTTGTTCTTCATGGCTTTGAGCATCATCCTCATCTGCCTTATTCTGGACATGATGACCGCTGTCGCTTGTAGAGGTAGATGAGGTTTTTGGCTCAACTGGACTGCCGGTTGCTGCATTCTTCGTCGAATCCTCTGTGGTTGTGTCATGACTGTGCTGCCCTTGTGTAGCATCCCCTGAAGGCTGTTCCGTTGCTTTTGATTCCATTTTGGGTCCTGACGGCGTGTTTTCTTTTGTTACTTTGTTGACTTTCTGAAAGTTTTCTTGATCTGCTGTTTGGCCTCCCGATGGTATTGGTGGTGGCAATGGTAGTAGGGATGGTCCCTCATTATTTTTATCCTCTTGTGCCTGTGTTGGTGCTTTATTTTTTTCTTTTTTTCCTTTTTCCAATTCTTCTTCCTCATTATCATAATACCATCATCAACCTCTTCATCTAGCGATGGGAAGTTCTGT